GATGAAAAAATATTGCTGTAAACAGTTTGTTTTACAACACCACAAAACAAACGATAGCATAAAATGAAACGACAGACGTTTTTATATCTTCATCCGATATATATCGTCATATCGAACAGCCCTAGCATAACATCTTAGCTCAGACAGAAGGCGGCGGGGTTATTTCTGCTGTCAGATCACAATGGCATCCTGCAGCCCACAGAGAAACATGGGTTTTGCGCTCCTGAGATAAACGAAGAGGGCAGAGCAATCTCTGCTTTGGATCATCTCCACAGAACAGTGTCCTCTGGGAGGATCCGATATTTGGATTGGGTGTCAGCAACGAGTTGATCTCGGGGAACTTTCCTCGCAGTCAGCTGACACAAATCCGCTGAGCTGGGTACGCCGCTGTTCCACCTGAGCACCAGTGGCTCTCTCTTGTGTTGCATCAGCCTCTTGATTCCTAACACCGCCAAGCTGAAGGCTGTAAGAACGACTGCTACACTTGAGACTCAGAGATTCTTAGAGTACTCTGATTATTCTTAATAATCTGATTTCCCCACACTGCTGGGCCTGAGCAATGACCCATCCTCCAAGTGTGATTAATGTACAGGGTCATCACCCGTATTTTTGACCACTGATTAAACTGATCAAATCGGAAGAGTAGATCAGAGTTGAAGCTTTGACCTGAAGAGGCACGTTCAGGGGGCGGTTCTAGTTCTCTGCCCCTATGATTGGCTTTTTTAAATAAAGTTGGTCTGAATAAACTCAAACTTTAGTCCCTCCCTGTGCCTGCGCAACCTCTCACGTGCTCAGGTCGTTTATCCATACCTCATCGATTATTACCGACTTTATCGGAAGCACGTTTTTCACACCTGACTTCCTCTTGTGTGCGCCACTGTTTGTTCCGTGTTAGCACGTTAGCGCCGGAAGCTAGCTGCGGACACCGCCCTGTTAGCGGCTAGTTCGTTAGCTCAGCTCAAGTGTGCTCAGCTTTACCCGTGTGTCTCCCACTTACCTGTCCGAATCCTTGGAAAGAGTCACACCTGTAGCTCGCGCCCTTCTTCCGCTGCACTCACTTCCCGTCAGCTAACTGTTAGCTGTTGGCGGCTAATGCCTCACTCTCCGTGAAGTTTGACGAACTGTGAATCGCGCTCCGTCTCAGCCTCCGTGGACTCGAGTCTCGTGTCGGTCCTCGTGCTCCCTGTTCGGGTGGTGGTCTCGATTTCTGGTCTAGGGTTCTGGTCGCGCTGAGTCTGGATTCCGGTTCCAGCCAACTCCCAACTCAAGAGACTCCGCCCTCTTCCGGGTTAAATTCGCTCCACGGGAAGTGATGTTACACTATGTCCTCTTCAAAGTAAAAGTCCGAAAGAAGAAGCTGCCGAGTATCAAAGTTCAAAATCAGACTCCTAAGCTCTGTGAATACCTCCCGGACAGCTCACATTAACGCTCTCTATCAAAACTAAAGAAAGTGTATTAATTCTTTGTGCAAATATGACTGTTTTAAATGAATTAAAACGTACTTTTTACTTTTAATTCCTCTCAGACAAACTGCAGATTTGCTTCAGTTTTACCGGTTTTAGTGACTTTCCTGAAACTGAATGGACTCTTCAATGTTCTGTTTTGTTTTTGGTTTTTTTCCCTGAATAAGTTGTTTTTGAAACTGTTTAGCTGTTAATCCCCTCTCATTGTGATTGAATATTAAACCTTAGAAAGCATAATGACAGATTTATTTTTTTTTAACAAACCAAACCAGAAATCTTCTCCAGCTTGTTCTTCTGATGTGTTATTGCAATTTGGCTCTAATTAAATCACTTAAATTAACAGCAGCAGCCACCTCGAGGTGGGAAAAAAGTGTAGCAGATCAGAGAGGAGTGACTCTGACAGGTGTGCACAGGTAGCTCCAGCGTGATGTTAAAGCAGACTGTGTGCTGGCCAGCAGGAAGACCCCCACCTTCGTCCTGTAACAGCAGCGATCTGTGGTCCTGGGACATCGATCAAGCCGCTCTTCTATGGAACCAGCTCCCTGTTCGGATTATATAATTTTCTTCCTGTTAAAAGGGAGTTTTTCCTTCCCACTGTTGTCAAGTGCTTGATCAAAGGTTGCCATTTGATTATTGGGTTTTCTCTGTATTATCATAGGGCAGTGTGCCAAACAGACAGACAAAATCAAAGCCCTTTTTTTCAAACACACATGCAGGTGGTTACATGTGGTTAAAATGATTCAAATGCAGTAAGTATTCACGTTTTTCATAGAAATATAGTCCATAACTTAATTGTTTTCTGTAGCCCCCATAATTAAACACTTTAGTGACATAAAACATGTGATGTTATGTACTGTATAGCCTGTATAATAAATATGTAGCCTAGAGAACAATCAGGTGTCGCAATAAGATGCCCCACAAATGATGTGTGACAGTAAAAATAAATGTTTGTCCACCACAAGACAGGAAACAGCGCAGGGACAAACCTGCAGGCCTGACAACAGGTGTATCACTCTGCTGGTTTTCTACCTGGTTACAGTGTTTACGTTGCAAATGTGCCTGTGTGACATTCATTAGTGCCCTCACTGACACACAACACAAGGACTACACAACACACTAACTACACAAGACAACACAACACACTAACTACACACTCCACACTAAACGTCACAAATCTCCCACGTCTAAAAACTCTCTCTCTCGCTCGCTCTGTCTCGCTGCCGTCACTCCCAAAACTTTCCCCTCTGCCTAAACAACCAAATCCCACGTCTTGACTTATTATTTTTTAAATTGGTGGACATGGTGCATTTTTCCACCAATAGGAAAGAAGTGTCTTTTTTCTCCTTTCTTTACTGTTTTCGTGCTGTCCTTAGAAAACGCTTTAAAAAAAACACGTGACAACAGTATTTAGAAACAAGCATGGCTTATATATATAAATATTTTTATCATAACTCTGGATTTACTGGCCTGTAATTAAAATCTAAAAACTTTGAAGTCCAAACTTCAACACGGGCTGAAAGACTCAGCGTGGCTGCAGCTTGTTGCGGTGTCATCTTAAATCAGTCGTGTGAT